AAACTAAAATCTCACTAATTTCATTTATCACTTCTCTGATTTACACTTGCTGATTCTTTACAAAATTATAAAAATCAATCGTGAATATTGAAATTCTCCATGCATGCTTTCGTTCTGATTGAGATCGATGAGTATTCTCTCTAAATAATTGTTTGTACTCTTCACTGGAGAGAACTACTTTACAATTCTTGTCAGGAAACTGACTCTGATATAATGGAACGAAATAATTCATGATTTGAGTTCGATTTTTGAAAACATCCACCAGCACATAATTTTCTCCTTTCCATTTGACTGAAAATTGCTCAATTCCTCCAAGAACTGGAGCTTCTTCAATATCAACTGGTTGCTTACTAGCTCCTGATTCATCAACTAATGAAAACGTTGTTTGAGTAGTAAGTAAATTATTCGAAAGTTGTTCATTAGAAACAGGTGAAGTTTTCCTCTTTTTCTGTGCTTTCTTTTTCCTTGGTTCGTTTTGATTTTGCAATTCAGAATTTTCTCGTTTGTTAGGTGCAGTTTTTAGTTCATAATTTTCTCTCTGCAATTCAGCAATTGTTTTGTGTTGAGTTTCTAATTCTCTTTCCAATAGATGGATTCTTTCTCTTAGTTGGTTGATTAAATGTTGTTGAGAATCTGCTGCATGTACTTCATGTTGGATGTGGTGATTGTAGGGAGAATTTGTTGAGAGAATGTTTGTTGGTGATGAAGTGGAAGAATTGAAATCTTTCGTCTACTGTACATGCCCTTCTTCATGCCACATGTGTTGTGATGGCATGGAAGCGGATGGCAAACTGCAAGACACATTATTAGAAAGATTATTAGAAAGATTATTAGAAAGGTGGAGGACATGATTGTTTGGTAATGTCGATCCTTGGAAGTTATCTTGGAATAAATCTCTCAAGTTTGGTAATGGCATGGGTTTCGTAGTCCAATTATCTGAAACATTTACTTGCCGAGAGTCTTCGAAAGTAGACGAAACTTGTCGTATTCTTGTTGGTGGTGAAACAGATGAAGAATAAACCTCTTGTGATGATGATGAAACTGGATAATTGGATGTAGCAAAGAAATTGGCCGAATTTGCACTTCTTTGATTTGGATAGTTAGGAGACATTTGTTTAGTTTTTTTTCGAATAGATTAAACAATTCAGTGGTAAAGTCTGCGTCTAAAACAAAGTAAACAACACACTTTGATAAAGGAAATATCGGATGAGTCTTGATAACGAAACAATTCTAATGATTTTCACAAGATGAAACCTCGTTTCGAATAAGCTTGTTTTAGTCTTAAGAATTTGCACAAATTAGACAGGTGTCACAACTTACAACTTGAAATGCTGAGGTTTCCTCGCAAGATTCCTCTTGTTCATGTAAAGGAAACAAGTGTCCCTATTTAACTCAATTGATTTGCAAAGAAAACTGAAAGATTTATAAGGAACTTTGTGCGATGAGATCATTAATCCGTAAACGATAGTCCAATAACACGATGTATCAGATTGCATCCAATGTTTCAAGTGTAATTGTGTCTTCTTTTTCTTTCGTACAAATAGCTGTTATCATGCAAAGCCAACCGATATTACCAAAAGTGGAAATGACATCCTAGTATAAAATTGTGTTGTTTCCAAAGGTCTGATAAAGGACTCCATTGTCTTGTCTTTATTATATTCATTTCATGTTCTCTTATAATAATGGTTAACTTTAGGCAAGTTTCGTCTAGGATTCATTTGATTGCAAATTATGATAATCCACACAGTCCAACAACTGTAAAGTTGAAAATTCAGTAAAGATAAT